TGTTCATCATCACTAGCAATTAAAGAAATGCAAATCATAACCACTATACAATTTCATCTCACTCCAGTCAGAATGGCAGCTATTATGTATACAAACAACAATAAGTATTAGAGAGGATGAGGGGGGAAAAGGTACACTCATACACTGCTGGTGGGACTGCAAATTGGTACAGCTAATATGAAAAGCAATATGGAGATTTCTTGAAAAACTGGGAATGGAAGCACCATTTGACCCAGCTATCCCTCTCCTCGGTCTATACCCAAAGGACTTAAAAACAGCATTCTACAGGGACACAGCCACATCAATGTTTATAGCAGCACAATTCACAATAGCTAAACTGTGGAATCAATATAGATGCCCTTCAATAGATGAGTGGATAAAACAAAATGTGGCATATATACACAATGGAATATTACTCAGCAATAAAAGAGAATAAAATCATGGCATTTGCAGGTAAATGGATGGAGTTAGAGAAGATAATGCTCAGTGAAGTTAGCCAATCCCCCCCAAAACAAATGCTGAATGTTTTCTTTGATATAAGGAGGCTGATTCATAGTGAGATAGGGAGAGGGAGCATGAGAGGAATAGATGAAATCTAGATAGGGCAGAGGGGTTGGAGGGGAATGGAGGGGGCATGAGGTTATTAATGATGGTGGAATGTGATGATTGTTATTATCCAAAGTACAGGTATGAAGACACAAACTGGTGTAAATATACTTTATATACAACCAAAGATATGAAAAATTGTGCTCTATGTGTAATAAGAATTTTAATGCATTCTGCTGTCATATAAATAAAAAAAATACATGTGCCAGGTAAGTTTTGTTCAGATGTGAACTGACACCCTGTTGAACATGAATTCAATGTTAAAAAAAATCAATAATATATATTAAATAAGGTGTGTTTAAGTGGAAACACATATAAGACAAGGTTACATATTGATCAGTTGATATAAATGTTGTGACCATTGGCTCACAGGAACTTAGTCCTGCTTTTCCTCTTAGGAGTATGCTTCAGTATCCACCAGTTCAGCATTTGAAGCAACTTTGTAGAATATGCCTATCATGGAAATGAGATAGATGATGAACAAACTGAAGTTCATATTAAGATCTCCTGCTATGGTCTGAATGTTTATGCTCCTTGTTCCCCTATTCACATGGCTGAAACCTAACCCCAATGTGATAGTGTTGGGAGAGGGGGGTTGTGGAGGTAATTAAGTTATGAGGCAGAGACAGGTCAATATCCTTCTAGAAGAGACCCCAGAACCAAGATCATTATGTTAAGTGAATTAAGCTAGGCAAAAAAAAGGTAAGTACTGCATGTTCACAGTTATATGTGGAAGCTAATAAGTTGATTTCACAGAAGTAAAAAATATAATGTTGGTCTCTAGAGGCTGGGAAGGGGAGGGAGGGAAAGAAGGATGTTGGATAACAGGTCCCAAATTATAGTTAGATATGAGGAATAAGGTCTAATGTTCTATAGTATAGTAGGGTGACTATAATTTATAACAATTTATTATTTATTTTTTTAAAGAACCAGAATAAAGGAGTTCAAAGGTTCTCAGTACAAAGAAATAATACATACTTGAGATGGATATGTGAATTATCCTGATTAGATCACTGCACACTGCATTCATGGATCAAATTATCACAGTGCACCCCACAGATGTGGACAATTATTATGTGTGTGAAAAGACAGACCACAAAGAGCTAGCTAGCTATCCCCTTCAGCCACCAGGTGAGGACAAACTCCTTACCAATCATTTGGGCAATGGTCTTTTCATATTCAGCCACAATTTTCCTAAATAGAAAAAAGAATATTCAGAAGAGAATTTTCATACAATGGAATTTAGAGAAATGCTGCCCTCAAACAATTAAACTCATTGATAACTGATTTACATATACAAATTTACGTAACAGGGTCTCCCCATGTCTAGTCCTGGCATTTGTAAGCTCAAGGGAGCCTTTTGTCTCGGCTTCCCAAGTAGCTGGAACTACAGGCACTTGCCATTTTACCCAGCTAAAATGTTTCTTAATCACTCAAATGCAGACTGTACAAGCATGAACTATGTATGGTTTTTCCTTCTTTTCTTTGATGCCATCCTTAGCCACTTAATGGTACATAATTCTCTTAGAGAATAAAGAGGATAAATTAAAAGATTTCAATTTAAAGTCAATTTTGTTTTCTATTAACATGCCTACTTATAATCCATGTGATGATTATGTAACTTGAAGCTACTATGTATGACTATTTTAAATTATTATGGATTTTGCAGGCCCAATGGCACATGCTTGTAATTATAGCTATTTGGGGGACTGAGGCAAGATGATCCTAAGATCAAGGTTAGTCAGGGCAACTTAGTGAGGCCCTGTTTCAAAATAATAAAAAAGGTTTGGGATGTAGCTCTATAGTTGAGCACTTCTAGGTTCAATCCCCCATTGAATTTCAATGCCTCCATCATTGATCTTATCAATAAATCTTATTATTCTGTATTCCATATGGATATTCTTGCACAAATTTGTCCATTCTTTAAAAAAGACAATAACAGTGTGAACTTTGTTTACATGTAATGTTCTACATAACTCATGAAATGACACTCTCAATTGCAAAGTGAGGTAATCTCAGATCAAAGCCCTCAAGTTCCCAACAGCTGGTTCTGTGGTGGTGAGCAAACACTTGTAGATCTAATAATATTCAAGACACCTGACCCCTCCCCCCAGCTTCCAGTCTAACCTCATCTCCAAAACTTCTTGTCGGGTCTCTTCATATTTCTTCTTCCATTCACTGGCTTCAATCTCTTTAGTGATTATCTAAATGATAATAAAGCTTGGTTTTTACCTTATCAATCTGTTACAGTTTCAATTTAAGATTGGAGACTGAAAATAACACATGACCAAGTATAACCTGAGGCATTCAGTTGACATTAGGAATATAAAACCTTGACATTTGTATATAATGTTCATAAACATTTGGAAACGTGTACTCTCAGCTGTAGAATGATGAAATGTAGCCACTAGGATAAGGTTAAGCAGATCTCCCAGGAACTTTAGAGGATTTTACAAGTTCCATGAATTTTACCTCAGTCCATGGTCTGGCTGTCAACTCTGTAGGGACACAGTTGGGACAGGACACCAAGAGCAGAGCGTCTGACAGACATTCACCTTAGCCAAAGTTACATAATTGCAGTAGATGTCAGACCACCAATTTTCTTTGAGAAATGAAACTGCCACAAAATCAGAGTACTATAAATTGGTGTGACCAGCACAATCTTTTCTACAGTGATTTCTGACTGGTAAGAATGGAGTCAGAACAAGGGGTGCAGAAGGGGAATGCCCCAGGCTAGATACATCCCTCTTTAGGATCCATCACCATCGGAAGGATCTTGCCAGTCAGGCCAAAACCCACACCCATATTTGGGATGCTTACTATCTGGAAACACTTTCAACTTACTACCTCAACTCCAATGGGTTTGCCACTGTCCTTTCACTACCCTTCCTTGGCTGTGTTTCCTGATTCCTGATGGGTATATTCTTTATTTTGGTGTCTCTAAGAACCTAGAAGCCACCCTGTGTGCTTCAAGCAACAAGGCATGTCTTTGCTTTGGTTCAATAGGTGGTCATTTATCTCAGAGTTTAACTCTCAAGAGGAAGACGAAGTCATTTTTCTCATTTATAAGAAAATGAGCAGGGTGGCAGTGGTAGGCTTCCTTACCACTGCTCCCAAGTTTTGACAACAGGACTGGCTGACAGCCCTTGTTACCAGTCTAAAGTTACTTATAATATAATGTTGAAAGACCTAGAGCAAAGGTACTTAATTACTTTCATCATAGTGTAAAAATAAAATTGTTATGGCAACAGAATTACTTTCTTTAAAAAAAGAAAAAGTGGAATCTTCAAGGAACATATAAACCAAACACATAAAATACAGCACAGAAATATGACAGGAGAGGATGGTAACTGAATAATGAGGCATACTTGTGGTAATGTCTTTTGAATAGAGACTGTTTAAAAACACAATACTGGAATTTGAGAGCTGACCTGTTTAAAGAATGGATGGAATTAGGAAACAATTTTTTATAGCTACATGCCTAGAATTTAAGGCATTCTTAGGCATAAGCCTCTTAAAAATGGATCAGAACAGAGATGGCAAAATTAGACACTTAATGCTTCAAGGCTAAAAGTTAAAGAAGCCTACCAAATTCTTAAGAATGTTTCAGGGCGCTGGCTTTTCCTGTGGACACCAACATGTCAGGACTTCAGCATCAATACTGAGTTTTACAGGGAGCCCTTTATATTGAGTTACACAAGCTGTAGGAAATAAGAACTTACAGCCTGGGGCAACTTGAGCCAACAAAGATGGAATCTACTGGTTGGCACATGGGCTTTACAGAGAAATGGTGTGATAAGCAGACAGAAAAAAAATGCCTTTACCTCTTCTCTTATCAAGGTGAGCACAGCTGTCTTATCTGATTCGCTGAGGCAGATTCCATCCAGGGGGCTCTCACCTCCGCAGGCCACAGACACAGGAGCCTTCTCCATAGAGGATTCGAACAATCCCTGGGGGGAAGGGCTCACATTCAATACATTCATTCCTTAGCTACTTAGCGCCAAATAGTCTTCAATAACTTCCTCATTACTGAATTGACAACACCCTTTAAAAACACACTTGCAGAGAAAAGCAGCAGAAGGGAAGCTTTAAGAAATAATGCAATTACAATACTATCTAAGGAAAAACTATTCTAATGCACACCAGGGCACTCTTAGGTTCACTGAACAGATAACCTGGGGAAGTTTTCTAATCCAAAAAGAAGAAAGTCAGTGACCAAGGAATCGTGGGCATAAAAGATACATGTTTAATGGCTCATATTTCTGGGGTATGACATGTTCCAAGAAAATAAGTTTTCAAAAAAAGTGACGGATGTTCCTTTTATATTTGATGCTCTGTATACATCTTAGGCACTTTGAATGGCAATGTTTCTAAAGTGCCTTACTGACTTTCAGATTTAAGGAAGCTGAAATGACCCATTTTTCTGAACTCTGACCTCCATCTTTCGACCTTCATAATTCAGGATCAACATGAACCTCAGTTGGTCTGCAGTGATATCCTGCTATAATCCAGAACTACGTTCATGGACACCATTACCTGTCCCTATAAAAAGTAGCTAGAGGTAAGTCAAGACCTGTATGTGTTTTTTTTTTTGACTTTTGGATTCTTCCTTGTCATTACATTTTCAGTTCCTTTCTGGTAGCACTTCACCTTCTGATGTGCCAGTTGTTTCTATCATAAACTCAGTTCCAGAAAGCCACATTTGGTTAGCATTTCATTTTTCACAAGAACATGGGACTTAGTATTGTTACAAGACAGAGGCCTGCTGCAAAGCTGAGGCAGCTGCAGAAGCCCTCTCTTCACCAGTTCTTGTGATCATACCATAAAGATTTCAGACATGTTACTTAGAGTAGCAGACATGAGTTTACTGAAGGGATAGGAAAAGGGACACTCTCATGGGAGAGAATGGATCCTCACAAAGAGAAGGAGAGCATGCCCCTCCTGCCCTCAAGTTTTATTGGGGATCCCAAGGACATTTCCAGAGTCCTACCTAGGTCTATCTCTTGACTTCTGACTAACAGTATAGGAACTGCACAGACCACCTTGAACAGAGGATGATAAGGTAATTGAGTTCCCCTGTTTTTGCTTCAATTTCCTGCCCCTTTATCAATTTACTACCCTTTGAATAGTTTTTAGCAAGCTTTCTTTGTGATGGTCATGTTTGGGGTAATTGAGGGCCGTGACATAATTTTGGTGATAAGGGAGTGTTCCGGGCTATCTCACCTAGTAGGGTGTGACATGATCTTAATTTTTCTTAGTGTATGTAATTATGGCTGGTAGAGGTTTTCACATACCAAATTCCATCTTCCAGATATTTATCTTTCAGATAAGCCTCCCTGTGGTTTTCAGTTGCCCTTCATTGTTCTTTCCGGGCTCACCCATTCATGGCTGGTTAATTACCTAACAGTACTATTTCCCTAAAAAGCGTATTTGGTGTGATTTCCTCCCAACTATGGAAGTAAACTTTTTTGTATGAATGTGCTCTGTGATTTAAGAGCATGGCAATGTCCAAAATACCATCCAAAGTGAACTGGGAATAATCTTAATTCCCTTTAACGGGAGAATAGCTAACTGATTATTGGATTATAATCTATCCATTCTCTGGTTGGTATCTTCTTTGAACCAAGACTAAACAGAAAGTCCAACATTAACTTAGACTAGTGGCTTTTAAACTTTTTGGTTCACTGTAGCCTCACTCTCTTTATATAAAATGCTCAAAACACAAATGTAATTTTAGGAAACAGCTTCACAGACTTCAGCCATAGTTCCAATATAGAAACTCATCTTAGACCAAGAAAAGGGAAACATAAAAACCACTAACTGGCAGTGCCCACCTTCCAGCAGCATTTGAAGGAGGGAAGCCCATCAGGCTGACAGAGGTCCAAGGTAATCCCAGTACCTCCTGGTATAGATTTTGGTAGAAATCTCTCACTAGAACCAGGGTGAGCAGTCTCTAACTGGCTCTCCAAACCTTACCTCCTATACTAATCCTCTCGTGCATTCTCTTCTCTTTGGGTACAGCCTAGACTTAGTGACTCACTCAGATATGGCAAAAATCATGGAACCTAATATTATAAAAAGACTCTGGTTTCCATGTATTGAGAAGTCTGCAAAAGCCCTTGTGAAAAGAAATAATGTCTCTGCCAACAACCATGTGAGTGGAATCAAATTCACCCTAAATCAAATACAGGGATGACTGGATTTGGATGACTAGTAATACCTTGATCACGAGAGACCCTCATGATCATGAATCAAGAGGCATCCAGCAAAAGATTCCTAACCCACCAAAACAATGAGATAATAAGTATTTATTGTTTTAAGCTACTGAATTTTGGAGTAATTTGTTACTCAGAGTAGATAGCCAATACACCCCTGGACAGTAGAACCATCTCATTAATTTGGTATGCCTTCTTAACCCTCCCTCCTTTATTCTCCCCTCCATTTTCCATACCAGGGATTTAACCCAGGGGTACTCTACTGGGCTACATCCCCAGTCCTTAAAAAAAAAAAAATTTAAGGGCTGGGGTTGTAGCTCAGCATGTTTACCTAGCACATATGAGGCCCTGGGTTCGATCCTCAGCACCACATAAAGATAAATAAATAAAATAAAGGTACTGTGTCCATGTACAACCCCCCCCCCCCCCCCCCCCCCCCCCGCCCGCCACCAAAATTTTGGAGAAAGGGTCTAAGTTACCTAGTCTGGCCTTGAACTTGCAATCTTCCTGCCTCAGCTACCAAGAAACTACTAAGAGTCTTCTTAGCAAGGAAATACTAATATCCATTCTAGAGTTCAGTATTTCATTCATTTGTGGAGGGGATAAATGAATTTAGTCAGCCTGCTCACATCAACTTAATGCTAACAAATGTATCCAGAAGAGGCAGTATTCTTAATTGGACATGGAAGATGGCCACTATATATAAGCTAGTGGTTCTGCAGCCTGCCAGCTCTCTCCTGGCCATAAGCCATAAGCCTCACCTCTCAGAATGCAACAGTTCTTAAGAGGTGATCAGGGAAAGAATTTATGCTGTGACTTATTTCAGTTACCGTTCCCAGTCTCTTAGGACTAAAACTTTTCAGTCCTTTTTGTTTGTTTGTATGATTTGTTTTACAGTATTGGGGACCTCACAAATGCTTGGCACACACTCTGCCACTGAGTATATCCCCAGCACTTTTTAAACTTTGAGACAGAGTCTCATTAAATTGCCCAGGCTGGCTGCAAATTTGTAATCCTATTGCATTAGTCTCCCCAGTATCTGGGATTATAGGTGTGTGCCACCATGTCCAGCCCTTAGTCCTTTATATTGTTTATCAAACAGTGTAGAAAGTCTACCAAGTCTACCATTGCAAAGAATTAGCCAGGTGGGTGTGGTGGTGCATACCTGTAATCTCATTGGTTGGGGAGGCTAAGGCAGGAGGAAGGCAAACTCGAAAGCCAGCCTCGGCAATTTAGTGAGGCCCTAAGCAACTTAGACCTGTCTCAAAAAATAAATAAATAAATAAAATAAAATCTCTTTTAGAACTGGGCTAGAATCAAGTTTTTTGTTTATTTTAAATTGAAGTACTAGGGACCAAACCCTAGGCCTTGGCCAAGCTAGGCAAGTACTCTACCACCGAGTTATATCCCCTATATATTTAGAGAAAGGGGCTCTCTAAGTTGCCATGGCTGGCCTCAAACTTTTGATCCTCCTGACTCAGTCTTTCAAGTAGCCAGGATCACAGGTGTGAGTTATCACAAATACCTCTAAATAAAATCTTAATAAAGATGCCCAAATTAATCAGTCATCCTCCCAAAGGGGTCTGGTTTCATGTTCCCTAGTCCTTCTCCTGGTCCCTCAGGGCAATCACAATTGAGTGCCAAAAAATACCTGTCTAATGATAATAGAACTGAATGGCATCTTGGTTACAAATCTACAGTGAACATATATGCCACAAAGTAATTCCCTTAGCTGATGTCCTTGCAGTGGCAGAATTAGCATCACCAATCTGTCTGCATTGTGCTGCTGACTGTGCTCATTCCATCATTTGTTCTCCCCAGAGCTGTACCAGTTCCCGCCACTACTAACAAAGATATGCTTGGAAAACCACATAAACTCAACCTTTAATAACTTTTACTCTATGGTCTTAATTATTTTGTCCCAGCCACCTACCACTGGGCACAAGATTGCAACAGGAAAGTACTTCAAAGAGGCTTAATAAAGTAAATACCAGATTACACAGATTTCTTTATTAATTACTTTGAAGACTGAAATTGTTCCTTTCTTTTGAAATTCCGGGGACCAACACCAGGCACCTCATGTATGCTAGGTAAGTGTTCTACCACTGGGCTACATCCCCAACCTTTAAAGTGACAATTTATTAAACAATGTTAATTCAACATTCTAAAAAAGTTGAAATTTATTTATGTCAGCAAGTTCAAGTGCAGTTATTTTTAGGAGGTCACAGCAGATATATATATCATCTATGTCTTTCACCAGCAGGCTCTAGAGACAAGTGTTAGAGGAATAAGTTGGGAATCATGAAGTTTAAACAGTTTCAAGAGCTGCATAAATCTGCAGACCAATGCTTTGTCCACTCAACACACCCCTCTTCAATCATCCTTTTGCTATTTAAAATTTTTTTTTTAATTGTAGATGGACACAACACATTTATCTATTTATCTTTATGTGGTGCCAGGGATTGAACCCAGTGCCTCACACATGCTAGGCAAGTGCTCTACCACTGAGCCACAACCCTGGCCCCATCCTTTCGCTATTTTTACACACTGAAAATACTAGAAAGTATTCCTATTGTACTTTGAAAACTTCAAAAGGAACCAGATTTCTGGGCTGTACAACCAGGTTGCTTTGGTAGTAGGGTATGGAGTTTCTCTTTCACAGATGAGCAAACTGAAGCTTCAGTCCTTGAGTGGCTGTACTGGGATCAGATGACCTCATTCTCCAGAAAACTGAGGATCACATAAGTTTCTGGGCAAAAGTGATTTTTGTCTGGAAACAAATGTTACTAAGGTGTGAAGCCTTAGTGAGGAAACAATGCTTTCTGATTTCCCACATGTGATATGTAAGTTCTTCCTTCTGACTTCCTGTCCATGCTTCTATAGGCTCCTCCTCTGCGCATTCCTAAGGTTAAGAAGTTCATTCTCGGGCTGGGGATATGGCTCAAGCGGTGGCTCACTCGCCTGGCATGCGTGCGGCCCGGGTTCGATCCTCAGCACCACATACAAAACAAGGATGTTGTGTCTGCCGAAAAACTAAAAAATAAATATTAAAATTCTCTCTCTCTAAAAAAAAAAAAAAAAGAAGTTCATTCTCTATTATATAGGGAAATACCAGGGGTCATAGCACAGTAGTGAATCATGAAAACAGTTTAGTGGCACCAAAAATCTGCACTAAAAAAAAGAAAGATAATAGGAAACATCAAAGTAAATTACATGAAGAAAGGCATATAATTGTGTAATTTGTTTTATAAATATACAAATGTATGAGCTATGATGTGCCAGATATGAACTGGTCGAGAATTGAAAGGTATTTTTTACTGTGGATCAAAGTAAAGTGTTTCAATCT